TAAGCCTGGGCTGGGGCACCCCCAGCTCCTGCCGCAGCCGATCGCTGGCTGGCTCCTCCCTGACCCAGGCCTAAAGCCTCAGGCCGAGGTTTTAGGCCTGGGCCGGGGCACCCCCAGCTCGCCGCCACGGAAGATCGCTGGCTGGCTCCTCCCCGGCCCATCAACCATCGCTGGCTTAAAGATCGCTGGCTGTCCCTGGAGAAGAAACCTGGGTTCCCCAAGATATGTGCAACGCCGGGGCCCTGCCAGCAGGCGAGGGGATCCCAAGGCAATTGCTGGGCGTGGAGGCCACAGGGGCATAGGCTACCAAGGAGACAGAACTGTACCTCACATCACCCTGCTTGGCCCCGGAGGATGGCTGGTTAGTCAAAGACGGGTAAGATTCCTCTGGGAGGAACAACCTAAGACAGGCACAGTCGCAAAGGGGCCAGCAGACGAGAACTTGGGGGTCTACAGAGGTGGGACACAGATCCTCACCCCCCCAACCATGCAGGGGCTTGAACACTTGCCCCTTCTGAGGGAGGTCTCCTGCCCCCATGGCTGCTTCTTGCTTCCCATGCCCAGCCCAGATCGGGACCCAGGTAACAAAAAGAGACTTGGCCCAGCTGAGATCGGTACCCAGAAAACAGAGACTTGGCTGACAACAGCTACCCTATATCTACATCCAGCCTAACACCAGGAATGCTCAGGGCCTTCTCAAGGATGCAAAAATAATCCTTTCCATTAATATTTACAGTGTAAACTAAGATTGTTTTTAAAGTATTAAATTTGACAGTAAAATAGCAGTCAGGTTTTCAGATTAAAATTGGCTCAAGAAGTATTAACCAAAATTTTCATTTCATGGTAAATTTGCTTAACATGCAATGATCCTAAAGCAGTCATATTTTTGTGCAAAAAAATTAAAAAAAATTTAGAGTTACCTAGACTGCATTGTAACTTTTCCAAAAAATCCTCCTAATAATTAAATCAAAAAAAGGGGGGATAGTGGAAAAATACCATGTAAGGAAAAATATCCTGTAACTAAATTACATCTAGAAAAATTTTTTCATTTATGCTAACAGCAAGACACCCAGGAAAACACACATGGTCTCAAAATAAGCCAAAGGAAAATCATTTGGGCAAATATAAAAAAGACCCCAAGTAAAATTCCCTTTATTAACCTTCGGTCGAGAATATGTTTGTATATTTTCAGAAAACAACTCCAAGACCATGTGGATTCCTGCAACAGAGAGGAATTATCAGGAATGCTCCAGCCATGAAGACAAGAGGAAAAACAATCCAGAGATGAAGGACGCTGACGTCACTTTGCCATGCTAGCAGTCAGCAGCTGTGCGTCGCTGCAGGTTGCCCAGGATCAAACCAGAGAGGGTCGGACCTGCATTGCCACCATTTGTCCACCATCCAG